TTACAGTCCTGGACCAAATGGCTTCCCTGGGGAATTCTACCAGACATTTAAAGCAGAGTTAATACCTATCCTTCTTAAGTTGTTCCAGAAAATGGAAAGGGAAGGAAAACTTCTGGATTCATTCTATGAACCTAGCATTAACTTTGATTCCCAAACCAGACAGAGACCCAGCAAAAAAAGACAACCAGAGGCCAATATCCTTGATGAATATGGATGCCAGAATTCTTAACAAGATAACTAGCAAATTGAATTCAACAGCATATAAAATGTTTTATTCACCATGATCAAGTGGGATTCATTCCTGGGCTGCAGGGCTGGTTCAATATTTGCAAATCAACCAATGTGAAAAATCACATCAATAAAAGAAAAGAAAAAATATTTTTCTAATAGCTACATTAAAATACAGATTTATTGATATTCATATACAAATGTCTTGCTATATGTGATGTGAAATATTATCCTGAAAGTTATAGTATTTGATATAAAAAAAACCAGAAAACATGCACATGAGATGAGATAAGAATTCATCCTCAAATTATTTTATTCTTCTTCTCTGACTTGAAACATTAAATTTTTCCAACATCTGACTTGAAACATTCAATTTTTTAACATGAAGATTTTTGTGTATTCTGATTTATGTTGTATATATGATAATTCATATGGGTTATCATTATTCATAGCATATAAGAACAGTTCCTAATTTATAAACAATAATATGTATATGGCCAATTCCATCCCTGATTTATTTTTTATCAATCATAATTACAGTGCTGTTGAGGTTGCTACTGTCAAAGCTCCTATCCCCAGTATCAGAAGTGACTGTTGGAAGTTGGTAAAAATGAAGCCTATACCCCTTTACCTCCCCAGACTCACCTTTCCCGACTCTTCCCTCTAAGATCTACAAATGAGTATTATGTGCCAAGAAAAATACCACTGCTTATAAAAATCCCTGTGAAGCTGTTTGCTCCAGGCATTATATCTTAAAGACAATCATGGGTGGTACTGCCCTTATAAGTTATATATAATGTTAAATATAAATTACCTCTTCTTCAGCACAAACTAAAATATCTGCAAATTTATCCTGGTTTTATTACTATGGGAATGTTGGGTCTTGAAAAATTTATTTAAGTACTGTGAGCCTCAATTACTTCATTTAGAATATTTAATGTTGAAGATGGGGTTATCTCTATTCTCCTCCCAGCTCTACAAGGGTATGATTCTGATGCTAGTACATAACACAAGAGAATACAATAGTCTGATTATTATACATTCAGGCTAGTTTCAGATGTGAGTTACTAGTTTGAATATTTATATTAAGGGTTATCAGAATTTGTGGATTTAAACAGCTTTATAGTTGGGAAAAGATAACTCAGTTTTTACCTATCAACTATAATACATACATGACATTATATGTATTCAACTAAAAGAAAAGAACAAAAGGCTAATACTAAAGTTTTAAAGAATACCTCAGGTGCTACAAAGTTTGCAGTGTAGCATGGAGTTAAAAGAAGTCCATTTTCTCCACGAAGCTGTTTTGCAAACCCAAAATCACAGATCCTAATGGAGTCTGCATTGGCCGATTCATCCATATATAAAATATTACTAGGTTTAAGATCACGATGAACAACCTTGAACATAAAAGAAAAAAATATATTTCTATAGTGAACTATATATATCTATGAAATAAAACATTTTGAGTTAACATATTTCCAGGAAAAATAACTTTCTAAATTATAAAAATTTGAAAATGACACTCTCTCCAGTGTTGGTAGCCTTGACAGCCTGAAGTATGTTCCAGTTTCTATTCAAGCCACAAGGTTCTTTAAACATTTCCAATCTCAAATATTAAAACTCAATTCTCAGTTCCATTTCTGGAAATAAGGGACTAAGACCCTACTCAACGCTCTCCTCCCCACAATAAACAACTCTAAAGCTTGAACAAAATTGAAAAATCAACTACATGAAGATACTGGAGAATGGACAGAAGCAGAGAGACTCTGATGGAATGTGTACACTTTGTTAAGGAGGGAAAATAGGGAGCTATAAGTAAGGCTCCCATATCTGTGGCTTTTAGCCTAGGATTAAGTGCAGTTCTTATGTCACCCAGTGATGGTGAAAACACATGTGGAAAAGCCCAGTCTTTCTGGCATGGAGGAACATAAAAGAGATGCTAAAAAACAGTGAATGCTTGTGAGGAATTCTGTACAAAAAAGAGCCAAAACTGACTCCTGAGTTAAAAATGTATACTAAAGGCTCAATGTAATTCATACAAAGACAAAAGATAACAGAGTCCAGAGTTGCTACCCAAAAAGCAAAGAGTTTTCAGTGCAAACACTGCCATGAAAATTATCCACCAAAAAAATAATAATAATCATTGAAGAAAAATATCATTACAAAAAATCTTCATAATATTCAAATATGCAGTATATAATCCAAAATTATCTAATTAACAAAGAACCAAGTAAATGGAACACAGTTACAGGAAAAGAGAGTATCAATCAATTCCAAGCTCAAGATGAACCATATTGGACCTAACAGATGATTTTAAAGTGGCTGTTGTTATATGTGACATGATGAAGCTGCTAATTAATGCCATGGTATTAATCAACTTGCAGTACATAAATGTATCAAATCAATATGTTGTACACCTTAAACTTACATAATGTTATATGTCAATTATATCTCAATAAAATGAATTATTCAAACTTCACAAAACATTAAAAAATTAAAACATAAAATGGCTATTATAATTACATCAATGAAGTAAAACAAAAACATGCTTTCAATGAATGAAACTCTCAAGAAGAAAAACAGAAACAATGAGAACAAAATGAAATGCTAGAGATGGAAAATTTTCTAAACTTCCTTATGTGATGATTTTCTTACTAATACTATACACTTAATTTATTCTAGTCCTATATTTGATCAGCATTTCACCACACTAAAAGTTACTTAAAGATAAGGACCAAGTCTTACTCATGCTTGAATCTGCAATATCTTTTACAATGCCTGGCATGAAGAAATGTTCAATATACGCCTGTCAAGTTATTTAATTGATGTAAGAACCTGAAGGTTTCTAAAATAAAAGGGAGGAGTGATCAGGATGGTGGAGAAGTAGGGGGACCCTGGCCTTTCATTGTCCCTCAAACACAGCTGTAATGAGGTCAGATTACTTGGAGTACCCAAGAAATAGATCTGCAGAGTGGCAGAAGTATCTCCATAGTTGGAGGGAGACAGCTTGGCAAATGCAAGATGTATGGAGGTGATTTGGGGGCCAGAAAAAATAAGAGTCGTAGAGGGGAGGAAACCCCTTCTGGAGAGACAAAGTGGAGAGACAGAGAGAAGGGTTGAGAAAGTGTGGCATCGCATTAGCACAAGAGGAAAATCTCTCTGGACCATGGATTGGGAAGCAAGAAGTAATAAGTATCCCAGTTCGGTTTTGCAAACAGCTTTTGGAGTTCAAACTCTGAGGTTTTGGAAGTATGCGACTTTCTCCAGAGTGGAGCCATGGCTCATGGTCCTGGGGAGGAAGGATCTGGCCCTGGAGTGCATAGCATGTAGATATTTATGGTGTGCACTGGGAAAGAACAGTCCCCTTCCTGGAGTACTTTTGGAAGAAGGTTTGTTGCCTCCCCAAGGACAAAAGACCCTGCAGGTGCCAGCCAAAAGCCTTTTATCAGCAGGGTGGAGAGGCTCTACTCCAGAGAATGGGAGCAGATCCACACCTTGCCAGGTCTTTAAGAGTTTGGGTTTTGAATCCCAGCCATGAACCAAGGAGAGGCACGGGATAGTTGTGGCACAGGGAAAACTTACTGCCATCGCTATTCTGTGAAGGCTTCCTGTATAGTGAGGGTTACGATCCCCGCTCTGGAGACAAGAGATTGGTGTGGTGCCATTTTCCCCACCAAAACCAACATGGTGAGATTTCAGAGAGCAAAACAGTGACCCTTAGTGGAGGCGGGCCCCAATTTCACCAAACCCTTCACCTCTGTGCCTAGTAACTGCTTATTTACTGGGGCAAGACTGATTCCAAGCCAGTGCAGCTGGCCTCTTTTCCAGACCAGCATAGCTAACACCTTTCAGGCACCAAGAGAGAACTCTTTTTCTTTCTTTTTTCCTCCTTCTTTTTTTCTTTTGTAATCAGGCTCATAATACCTGATTTTTTTTTTTTTTTTTGCCATTTCATCTTCTATTTTTCCTTGGATCAGACTTTTTTATTCTTTTCTTTTTCCTACTTTTCTCTTTCCTTCTACTTTTTTCTTTCTTTTTCCTTGGAATCAGCTTTATAGTTTTTTTGATTCTCTGTTTGTTTTGTGTGTGTGTGTGTGTGTGTGTGTGTGTGTGTGTGTTCCCTTTCTTTTTCTTTTCTTTTTTTTCTTTTTTTAACGTTTATTTATTTTTGAGACAGAG